ACGCTCTTAAAGACTTTGACGGCATTATCGGGCTCGATTTACTTAAACAAGTAAATGCGAAACTCGATTTTACTGGAAATGTTCTACACACCAATAGCGGAACCGAGAAAATTCAGTTTACAAGAGTTGAAAATGTAAATTTCATTAAAATCAATGATGGTGACGTGCCCCCCGCAGCAAAAACTGCTTTTGATAAAATAATAATAAAAAATCATTAAGCCTTCGCCGATCCAGACGAGGCTCTACCCTTCAACATTAACACGGTAGCTACGATAAAAACGGATGGGGAGCCGGTATATTCCAGATCGTACCCGCACCCCATGGGTGTAACTGAGTTCGTCAACGCAGAGGTTAAACAACTTCTAGCGGACGGCGTAATAAGGCCATCCAAATCTCCTTATAACAACTCAACCTGGGTTGTAGATAAAAAAGGAATTGACCAAAACGGGTTAAAAAAAGCGATTGGTTATCGACTTTAGGAAGTTGAACCAAAAAACAGTAGACGATAGATACCCCATCCCTATGATTTCGACACTACTGTCAAATATGGGAGAGTCCAAAACCTCAAGTCAGGTTTCCAGCAGATAGAACTGGCAGAGAAAGACCGAGAAAAAACGGCTTTTTCGATAAATAACGGCAAATACGAATTCTGTAGACTGCCTTTTGGACTCAAGATTGCTCCAAGTATTTTCCAGAGAGCCATAGATGATGTCTTAAGAGAAGAAATATCAAAGATATGCTACGTTTATGTCGATGATGTTATAATATTCTCCAAAACCAAAGAAGACCATATTACCGATATCAATTGGGTATTACAAAAACTTCTTGAGGCCGGCATGAGAGTATCCCAAGAAAAGTCAAAGTTCTTTAAAAAGACCGTTGAATATCTGGGATTCATAGTGTCACAAGGGGGGCTGCGGACATCACCTGAAAAAGTGAAGGCCATCAAAGAGTTTCCCCCGCCAAAAACTTTGTTCGAACTTAGTTCCTTTCTAGGTCTTGTAAGTTACTACAGGTGCTTAAAAACTTCGCGGCAATCGCCAGGCCCCTAACAAGTATCCTTAAAGGCGAAAACGGAAAGACGAGCAAAAATCAATCAAGGAAAATCGATATCGATCTTAACAAGGAACAAAGTGAAACATTCCACAGACTAAGAGAAATCCTAGCAGAAGATGTTTTACTCTCCTATCCAGACTTTAAGAGACCGTTCGATTTAACAACGGACGCGTCAGGCTTTGGTCTAGGGGCGGTACTATCGCAAGACTGACGCCCGATAACAATGATATCACGAACACTACGTGATAACGAAAAACATTTTGCTACCAACGAGCGAGAACTCCTCGCCATAGTTTGGGCACTTAAAAATCTTCGTAATTATCTGTACGGAGTAAAAGACTTACGGATCTTTACCGATCATCAGCCTCTAAATTTTGCTGTCTCAGACAAAAACCCTAACGCGAAACTAAAACGATGGAAAGGGATTATTGATGACCACGGGGCAAAGCTAATTTATAAACCGGGGAAAGAAAATTTCGTAGCAGACGCTGCTACCATGCACAGCGAACAATCCTTGACCTACACTATAGAAACAACGGACAAACCGGAAATTAATTTAGAAACTAAATAATAATTGAAGAGAGGATCAGTTCATCAGTAAGCACACTCATTTTGTTTAAAAACAAGGTGAGACATATAGTAAAGTTTACTAAGTAAACATTTCGGACCATGACAATTTGCTAAATGTGTTACAGGATGTAGTTAATGCCAATGCAGTGAACGCAATACATTGCTCGCTCCCAATCCTGGCAAAATCCGCCTTTTCCAACATATTATGACTATTTTTTGCATGATTCTTTCATATTTTATTGTATTTTTGAATGCATATTCTTGAGCATGTTTTGCTATTTTTCGTGCATATTTGCATGCATATTTTGGCCTTTTTTCGTGCATAACTATCCGAGCTCTAGAAATTATATTAACAGAACACAATAGAGCCCATCGAGCGGCTCAAGAAAATGTAAAACAAATTTTAAGGGACTACTTTTTCCCCAAAATGCTTAATTTAGCTACAGAAATAACCTTAAATTGCAAAACCTGTTCTATGGCAAAATACAAACGCCATCCATCCAAACAGGCTATAGCACGAACTCCAATACCAGGTTATGTGGGAGAAATCCTCCATATCGATATTTTTCCACAGACGGAATCCTCTTTCTTACGTGTGTCGATAAATTTTCTAAATTCGCCACGGTGCAGGCCATCGCATCAAGGGCTATTGTCGACATTAAGGCCCCTATATTACACATAGTAAAATTTATTGCGACAACGAAAGGTCATTAAATTCCGAAACAATAAAATCAATGTTATTAAACAACTTTAATATTACTATTTCGAACGCACCACCTCTCCACAGTACCTCAAACGGCCAAGTGAAGAGATTTCATAGCACTTTGGCAGAAATAGCCCGATGCCTAAAAAAAGAACATAATCTGAACGACACCACTGATATAATCCTTTAGGCTACCAACAAATACAATAAATCAATTCATTCGGTAACCAACGAAAAACCCATAGAAATTGTCCATTCCAAGCCCGCAGAATTCGAAAGGGAAATTAGCAAGAAAATCCAACAGGCACAAGGAAAAACCCTCGACCAAATGAACAAAGATAGGACTTATAGGAACTAGCAAGTCGGCGAAAAAGTTTTTCTGAAAGCAAATAAACGATTAGGAAACAAGCTTTCGCCGCTATGTTCAGAGGGAATCATTGAGGCAGACCTGGGGACCACGGTTCTCATTAAGGGGAGGGTGGTCCACAAGGACAATCTTCGATGACGATCCTTACTACGTTTTTAGTTATTCTATTCTTTTCATATTATTTCTAGGTTAAGACAATATCTTTTTATCTTGGCACTAGTGGCTGTTAGGACAAACGCGACGGTGAAACTCAACGACTACACGAACGCAGACTATATTCCGATAGAAGACAACGACATCGTAATCTGGGTGGTTTACGGATACTTACAACACGCAAAGAACCTGACAACTTACGAGGACTACGTGGACCAGACAGAAGTAATGACGAAAACGTTCACTGACGATCACAGGACATCAGTAATATTAACGGACCTCCGACACATTCGCAAGTTGGTAGCTACCTTAAAAATCCACAATAGAGCCGCTAGAAGTATTAACGTAATTGGAACAGCCCTCAAAGTTATTGCAGGTACGCCTGACTTTAGCGACTAGGAGCAGATAAAAATCAATCAAGAGATTTTAATGAGAACAAACGAGGGACAAACCGAATTAAATATCAAATATCAAGAACGCTTAAAAGAACTCGCGAACGCGATGAATGAAACTCAAAAATTCGATACAGAAAAAGAAACACACCTTTTGGAAATTATTTTGGCAAAAAATAGAATCGTTATCACAGATCTAGAAAACATTCTTATGGGCCTAACCCTGGCAAAAATAAACATCGTTAGTCCGGCTATCCTGGATAGCACTGACATTGGCGAATTTAAGGACAAACAGCCTTTTAATATTAGTCTTGTAGAAATATGAGAAGTATCTAGCATAAGTGTCTTCCAAAATTCAGAAATTCTTCACTTCCTAATTAAATTTCCAACTCCTAAGTTCGTATGTAAGAAGGTAACGGTCTACCCGGTCCAGCACAACAACAACATCCTAGACTTTGAGAACGGGAACTTAGTCGCCGAATGCCCAACGCAGAACCTTAATATCGGCTACCGTAAAGCGACTGTAGGCGCCACCTTCTGCAAGGGACTACAAAACAACACTTGCGCACAGCAAATCGTTTCCGGAACCACTGCGCACTGTCTCACGCTCCCGGGTCACCTAGAACCGGTTACAATAGTGGATCATGGTACCCTCATCATCAACGACGTTAACGCAACCATTACCGATGATCAGGGCCGAGACCAGGGAATATCGGGAACTTACCTGGTGACGTACTCCGACAAGGTAGCCGTCAATGGAACCTGGTTCATAAACCAACTGGGAAGCTCGAAGAAGAAACCTGCAGTATCAGCTATGACCGTAGTAAACATCACTGGTCACCATAACCGGCTAAGTCTTCCATTTCTTCATGAGCTTAGCCTGAGGAACCTCCACCACATTGGAACCCTTAATGAGCGGTACTCGATGAGATCCTTCCTCAACAATTCTCTCGTCATACTAGTCGCCATCCTGTTATGCTTCACTATCTGGCTCGGCAAACATTATCTGAAGAACAAACGTCTTGCCAGATCAAGCGCTGCCAATGACATAGAACAGACGGGTCACCGGGACGGCGACGGCAGTTCAGCGGACTTTGGATCGGCACAAAAAGGATGGACCTTCTGGTGCGGCCAAGGCTTCTTGGATCTCAGTTGTGTTGCGTCAGCCTAGTAAACCCATTTAGTTATTCGGCATCTCGGCTTTGGTATCTTGATCGTCGAAATCTCCTTCCTTGCTTCTCTTTTCTCATCGTATTTCCAAACTCTTCGTTTCTCCGTGTCTGTTCCTCATTCGAGCGGGACAGGGAGAGTGAAAGCCCCGACTCCCGTTACCGGGCCACAAACTAAGGCACTGCGGAGAAAGGCTCACACACGAAGTAACGGTGGACGCATTAACATTGAACATTTTTAAGGAACCACTATAAACATACGAATGCTCCAAACAAGATTATCTAAAAAACAGGAAAACAACTGCGTAGATGAAATGAAAAATTGCATAATAATATATAAGACCCCAATGTCTATCAAGAAACTAATAATTTATCATCCGAATTGCTTCTTAAAGCAAGGAAAACAAATTATTCCAGGATTTTCAATTAATGATTTGTATTTTAATGAGGAATTTGATTTTAATTAATTAATTTTTTCAAAGGCTTAATTTAGAAGCAAGATTACATAAAACTGTTAATTTAAATATGTCACAAAGTAAACAGATCTTCGAATTTGCATCACTTACCATATACAATTTAAAACAACAATATGCAAAACAATTTATACAATTTATTATAAATATAATGAATTATATGCCTAGGCTTTGTGAGTTCATGTTGTGTACATAAGGTAATGTGGAGCTACAGATATGTCATTCCTCATTCTTCGAACTTGGTCTGTCCACAGGCGGATAGTCTTAGTATAGGACTATGTTTCCTTTAATTTTTATGTTTAATTGATTTTATACAGCTTCTGAGAGACACCAAATGCTCTATATTTCTTTTCTGTTTAAATGAGTAAAAAAGAGAGTAAAACGATTTGTTTTTACAAGTAAATTTGGTTTTCCAACATTTTTAAGAGAAAGTATACGAGATATAAACATTTTGTTAAACTTGTAAGAAATAATACAATAAGTATAATACATATGTCCGTGCTTTAAGTATTTGAGAATTGGGTGGAAGATAAATAGTTGTCAATCCATTGTTCTATTACAGGCAAATTTTGTTCACTCCACTGAATTTCTTCTTTCATATTGCGAAGTGATCTTTCTATAATATGCTGCGCTCTGCCAAACTGTCCGTAATGATTATTATAAAATGATTTTGCTGTATCGTAACCTTCTTGGGTAGTAAACTTTCCCGTCGCAGAAGTAATAAGTTTGTTCCATAGATTTGTTGAATTTTTAAACCTTAAAAGAAATAACATGTTTTTGTAATTAATATTTTTTTTTTTAATGACAAAATACTTAGTCGACAGCAATGACATAAATAACTTTAAAAATTAATTTTCTTAAATAGAGAAAGAGCTTAAAAAATAATAGAAGGTAATTTTGAATTTGTGTTTAAAAAAAAGTAAGAAGAAGCACTATAGACTTGGGTCCCTAAATGTGAGCGTCCTTAAATTTTGGAACGGGGCGGTAGGCAACGGCAGCTACTTTTAAATATTCAGTCTGAAGGATTTGAGTTAAGTTGTTATTAATCGTTTGCAATTGGACTCCGATTTTTTTGGTTTCTTATGTTTTAAAGAATATTTCAAAAGTCAATTCTTATGTTTTCGATTGCATAAAATAATGGGATGAATATTCATATGTCGGGAGGTCTTAGGTATAGCAATATGGTTTTATTTTAATGATAATGTGAACTTGATCGCACGTATGTAGGGGAGAGTGGGGCATTGTCGTCACTTTTTTTTAATTGCGTAATTTGTTGATAAAATAACTTATTTTTATCATGTAATATACATGGTTGGATTCGGAAAAGATCTGGCTATAAAATGCAGTAAGTATTTCGGACATCCTCTCACTTGTTTATTAATACGAAACTGTTATCTGAAAGAAGGCAAAATTGGAAAATTGAAAAATCGTGGGGCAAAGTCGTCACCCCCCTGGGGCAAAGTCGTCACATAGAATAATGAATGCAAATATAGGTACCCATGTGCACAAAACTATTTCAACTTGTCAAACACACATTTTTTGATATTCATACATATAAAAAAGTGGAACACTATACCTATTTTTTGCAAAAATTTGACACATTCAGATCTAAGTGAAGGATAGAAAGCAAAAATCAGAATTTCTTAAAGATTTTTCTTTGGGCGACCTCTTTTTAGAATTTTATTTTTTTTGAAGAACATTTTGGATAAATTATATTTTATATTTAATACTTTACATAAACAATCACAAAACAATAATAAATTGATACGAGTTTGTATTTCAGTCTGAGATAATACAGTGACGACTTTGCCCCACCCGTTGAGTGACGACAATGCCCCACGCGACATTTTTTGATAAAAACATGAATAACAAATCGAAACTCGAATCAGGTGTTACACAACCTACCATCTCGTGTTCGCCAAACATTTCTCATCAATAATAACTCACCTTTATACTTCTTTAATCAAAAATGTACTTGGAAGAAAAAAAGTTCTGCGCCGGAGAAAAATTACTTTTGAGGCTCCGAAACACTTTCTGATGAATAAATAATTACACATAACCTATAATTCTACCAAACTCCGTCAGTAATGTAGGAATAGTGCAATACACTTACGCTAAAAAAATTGGGTTGGTAGCCCTTATATTTTTTAAGATAATAGCGAGTGACGACTTTGCCCCACTGACGACATTACCCCACTCTCCCCTATACATAATTCAAATTGTTGATTGCCAATCAAGAATTTATGTTTTACATTCATATATTTTTTTTTTTAAGTTTAGGATGATACTAAAACATATTTAGATCTTTTTAATTATCTTGATAAAAATTTTTATATAATAGGGAAAAGTATCTCTAATTATAAGCCAAGAAATCCGACTGTGAGCAAGTACATGTTCAGTGACCCTAAGCTTACACGTAGATAGGTAGGGAGTTTTTGATTTCTTCATTTCATTTCAATGTGTTATCTCATTTTTTCCTATCCGCGAACGAATGCTCATTTAATGTCCAATTTATGAACCACGCACCATCGGCTATTTGAACACTTAATTAAATTACTCTTGGAATTCACTAATTAGATGTGTATATTAAAAGAGAATAAAGATAATAATAAAACAGTGATATATACTTTTACACACAAGATCCCCACGTCTTAAAGATCTTTTGCCGGTTTTGAGGTTCTCGGTTTGTGAAAATCTTTTATAATTTGGCATTAGGCCTCTTGAATTTCAGCAATCTGATCGCATGATTCCAATGGATAGCATTAATGTTGGTTTGCGTTATGTTCAGCCAACAGCTCTCTCATTGTGTGCATGTTATATTTCTTTCCCAACTGCATGTATGTAGGGTTTGTTTATTTTTTAAAGGTTATTGAAATTATTGATTTATTTAAAGATATTTATATAAAGAAAATATTTAAAATGATTAAACTGGAAAATAGATCGTCGTCGCGTCGTTTGGTTTGCTTCGTCTTAAGCACGTCTTCTCTCGGCCAGATCTCGTCGAATACTCTCTTCTTGCTTGGGTTTGGTGTCGTCGTGTTCATCTTCTCGTCGTTGTGATCCTCGTCTCCTTTTGGATCTTTGGCTCTTCTTTTGTCGTCTCGATGTCGTCTTTTTGCAATGCGTCGTTTTGGCAATCTGCCTCGTCGTAAGTATTTGTCTTGTTGTCTAGAGGTTTAAAGGATTTCGGGATATGGGATACTCGTAAAATCACTCCCACATTCGGCCATTCTGACTAAACATTCGCCTCGAATGTTTCGTCGTCGTCTTCGTGGGTGGGCCACGGTTTAAGAAATTCGGCACAAGTTGAGGAAATCTTTGGACCATCTGAGTTACCGATTTTTTGGACATCGTAAGCATTGTTGTGTTTTACTTTTGTAATTTTGTAAGGACCCAAAAACTTCGGCTTTAATTTGAGACCTCCTCCAAATTGTGTACGTTTTATGGCTACGATATCATCAACGTTATATACCCTTGCTGGTTTGCGTCGCAAGTTATACGTCTTCTTATTTTCGGATTGGAGCTTCATAATCTGGTTTTTGGCTTTCGTTCGAAGATCGTTTCGCATGTCCTGAAAAAAAGCTAAAGATTCTTTATTTATTAGTTCCCGAAGCTGCTGGTCATCTTTGTTTTTCATTTTGACTCCAATTAGAAGCTCAAAAGGTGTAGTGTCGATGCTTCTGGAATATGTGGAGTTGATAGCTTGCTGAACGCGATCAACATGTCTATACCATTTCGTGGGATCCTGCACACTGAGTTTTGACAGAACTGGAATAATTATGGCATTTAGTCTTTCGACTTGTCCGTTAACTCTTGGTAGACCTGTCGTTGTTTTAACTGCCTTTATGTTTTCGTCGTCACAGTATTGTAGGAAGTCTTGGGCGGTGAAAGCTGATCCCCGAACAGATATGATGCAAGCTGGGTTACCAAACACATTACTTTGACCTCGTAGTTTTGTAATGACTTCGCTGGCAGTCGTTGACTTCGTAGGATAAAGCCAGCAAAACTTCGAAAATGAGTCGATAACGGCGAGTATGTGTTTGTAATTCTTGCTTGTAGAGTCTAATGGACCTAAGAAGTCAACGTGGTAGGTGTGCAACGGGAAATCTTCTTTCTGCAATGGATGAAGCCAGCCTTCTTGTTTGCCACGTTTGCGGTTGCTTAAAATGCATGGAATGCAACAGTCGATGTACTTCTGGATTTTGTCGTCGATATTTTGAATAAAATATTCCTTGCAGATCAACTCCTTCGTCTTTTTGATGGCAAAGTGTCCTCTGTCATGTGCTTTGCTAATAATTTGTCTCTGCATGTCTTTTGGAACAACAATTAATTCTGAGTCGTCGACTAATCTGTACAAGACACCTGACTTTAGGAAATAGTCTTTATAGGGTGAATTAGAATCTTCGATGATTTTACAGATTGCTTTCAGGTGTTCATCCCGTTCTTGAGCCTGTTTGAAGCCCAGGGCTATGGAGTCGTCTACTATGGTCATTATGGGATACCTAGAGAGCGCATCGACGTGTTTCATACGTGAGCCTGAACGGTGTTCTACTTTATAGTCGTACTCTTGTAACAAAAGCACCCAACGTACAACTCTGGTACACAGACTTTGTTTTTCTAGCGTCTTAGTAAATGCATTGCAGTCGGTGATTATTTTAAATGGAATGCCAAGGAGATAAACTCTAAACTTTGTTATAGCTTCGATAATCGCAAGCACCTCTAACTCGTAGCTTGAATATTTACGCTTAGTATCTGTAGTTTTTCTGCTCATGAAATAGACCGGGTGAAATTGGCCGTCATCAGGTGATTTTTGCAAAAGCACGGCGCCAAAGCCATCTATGGACGCATCAGTGTGTACTTCGGTTTCATACTTCGGGTTATAAATAGCCAAAACAGGGTAGAAGTCAAGTATTTCTTCAAGGATTCTATTGCTATCTCTTCTTCAGGACCAATCACGAACTGAACTTTGTTCTTGGTCAGATCTGTCAAGGGTTTCGAAATGATAGCATAGTTCTGGATGAATTTTCTGAAATATCCTGTGAGTCCTAAAAAACTTTCTAACTGCTTGAGATTCTGTGGAGTCTTGAATTTTGAAACGGCATCGATCTTCTGAGGCGTCGGAGAAATAGTTTTATTCTCGATGATGTGACCTAAACTTAACTTCTCTGAGATTAGTCACAGCCTCCTTTTCGTCTTTTGCTGGGATAATTATATCGTCTACGTAAGGTAAAGCGATTCCTCTGCGTGAAAGATTTCGAAAAATTGCATTTATGTGTCTCTGAAACACTCCAGGTGAGTTCGATAAACCAAAAGGAACCTTTAGAAATTGGTATTGCCCGCTCTGCGTCACGAATGAGGTGTACTTCCTACTGGATTCGGCTACTGGCACATGAAAAAAGCCATTCTTTAAATCAATCGTGCTGAATACCAGGGCTTCTTGCAAGCGGTCGAGCTGGTCGTCAATCAGGGGCAATGGAAAATGATCTTTTACTATTACCTTGTTAACACGTCTGAAATCCACACAGAGTCGTTGAGAGCCATCGCTTTTCTTAGCAAGTACTACCGGGCTTGTAAATTCGGAGTCGGATTCCTCGATAATACCATTTGTCAGCCACTGCTCAATTTGGTCGTCGATAACGTTTGTTTCAGCGAAAGCGAATCTGCGAGGTCGTGAAAAGATTGGTGTTTCGTCGTTCAAGATGATTTTCATTTCAATGTTCGTTGATTTCGATTTTTGCGGATTATAGTTTTTTATA